TGTATTCTCAGAGCACACATAAACAGGCTTTCTAAAAATTGTACTTCTGGAACCTACCCCTTGGAGATTTGGATTCACTAGGACTAGGGTGGGACCTGGACACTGGCTTTTTAAATAAATACCTGAGTAATTCAATAAATACCAAAATAAGAGACGCACTATTGTAGATGCTGGATAAATGTTTGTGTAATGAGTGAATGAATGGATTCTACTTACAGAGAGGTAAGAGGCCCGGAAGTAGGTGGCCAAGATGGCCAGCATTTCATTCCAAAACCAGGATTTAGTTGAACTATCTTAATTAGTTTGGGGATATAGGTTTAAGATTCTCTCAATCTCTATTTTTTTCCTGAAAGGAACATGTAAGTATAGGGAGATATTCTATTTATAACTATCAGCTAGGCAATTTAGCAATAAACAAAAGCTGATTAAGCTAAATAATGTGTTTGTCTTGGAATTGCATCTGAAATTAAAGTGTCAGACAACACCAAAATGTGCCTTGGCTTCTCTGTCTTTCTTTGATGGTGACTTCATCTAATGGGAGTGGAGGTGCTGGATGGGAAGGGGTATTAATTGCCTCCTTTTTTTTTTTGAAGACTCGACTGTCTAAGAAAAAATGACATGCCCCATTAACCGGGACTCCTAGGCTGTGACAAAACCTTTACAAATAGAAGTTTGGCCACAGATGCACACAAACACAAGCCACACACACACACACACACGTAGACCATACTTAAACACACACTCTCACCTATCTGAACATGATGAGCAGGTGGAGAATACAATGTGCCATGTGCACAGCTGGAACCAAATGCTGCAGTAAACTACCAACATCTGTCAACTCACTGTACTGCTGACGAAGAGGAATGGGGCAGTCACCAGGGGGAAATCTATTGCTTCCTCTGAGCTGTTATTTAATTCCACCACCTTGTTGTACCTCTGCTGGAGCCCTTGGGAATCCCATTATTACTGAAGGTTAATGGAAGCCAAAAGAAAAGCTTCAACTCCAAGAGTGTTGTGAGAAGCTGCCTCATTCACCACCTTCCATTTTTCTCATCACTGACTGCCAGATCACTCCTGCTGTGCTCACAAAAACAAGTGAGAAGTCCTGACACCGCCTTCATATCTTTTTCTAAAGTGCTAGCCCATCCTGCCCCAACCTGGAAAATTAAACCAGCTGTTTTCTGTCTCTGCAAGGGCCTCGGGCCAAGTCCAAAAAGACAGCAATTGGTGCCAGGATTAACTTTACCTTGAGGATGCCAAGAAAAGCTGGGCTCCCGGCTGGCTCACCACTTCTGCCCACCCTGCAGGACACTTGTGTGTTTCCACTAAAAGGTGCCGCTTGACTGCTTGTGTGCACACACAAAGCTTAGTACTGCATTCTTCCAGGTCAGCCCTCACAGCGTGTGTG